CTGAAGACTGCAGGGTCAGAAAGCTCTCGGATTTCATTAAAAATATCTTAAAAGAGTTAGTTCACCCAAAAATGAAAATTAGCCCATAAATGACTCACCCTCAAGGCATCCTAGGTGTATATGACTTTCTTCTTCCAGACGAATCCAATCGGAGTAATATAAAAAATAGTCTTTGATCTTTCAAGCTGTTTAATGGCAGTCAGCGGGTGTTGCAGTGCTTCAGTCTAAAAGAAGTGAAATAAAAAGCGCACATCCATAAAAAAAAGTGTCTCACACAGATCCGAGGCGTGAACAAAGGCCTCCTGTAGCGAATCGATGCGTTTTTGTAAGAAAAATAGCCATATTAAAAACGTAATAATCACTTGAATCTAGCGTGCGCCAACAGTTGTACACGGAAGCAGCTCCGGGCGGATGACGTATGAGGTCGGCGTTGCGCATGCGCCGGTGAGTCTCGTGAAAACCAACGTTTGTTTTCATTACACCAAATACACAAAATAATGTTCTTTTTAGCAGCATCATATGACCCCTTTAATATAACTCCGACTGGATTCGTCTGAAAGAAGAAAGTCATATACACCTAGGATGCCTTAAAGGTGAGTAATTAATGGGCTAATTTTCATTTTTCGCGTGAACTAACCCTTTAATTTGTGTTCCGAAAGATGAACAGAGATCTTGCGGGATTGGAACGACATGAGGGTGAGTAATTAATGACAGAATTTTGGATGAACTATCCCTTTAAGAGAGAAAATTTCTCAGAAAGGGATTTAAAATGCTGACAGTTAGCATGCTAAAACACAGCATGTCATCAACATTCTACAAACCTTTCAAGAAGTTGTCATTAAACATCTCAGTAAACATCTAGTATATCATCCTGGTCTATCCCCATGTGCATAGTCACTGATGAGTAAAACAATAAAAAAAAAAAAATTGTTAAAAATTCTAAACTTTAAGAATACTCACCCTAAAAACCTAAAAATTCACATGAGCTCACATCTGCTGGTAAACAACAGCGGTGACAAACACAGTTCTGACTTCCTACAAAACAGGCGGTAAAGAAAATGTGTGAGTCAGCGCATACGTGAGACCAAGAGAACTATCAAATCAAAGAAATGGAAAAAGATAGGTGTGATTTCTGATCCTCACATCATCATATCTGATACAATAAAGGTGTGTGACTTCAAGATCAAACACTTGAACGGAGATGTCACAAGCACATCACTTTGATGTTTTCAGTGAAAGCATGCATTTCAGATAGCCAAATCATGCTGAAACTAGACAAGATGGTGTTCCGAATTGACTAAGGAAGCAACACTAAATAATACTCTATGCCAGTGTTAATTTTGACAGGAAATTTTTATTTTTAGTCATAGTCTTTTGACAAAAATGCCATTTAGTTTTAGTCATATTTTAGTCATCTGAATTGTTTTTAGTTTTAGTCTAGTTTTAGTCGAATAAATATCATAATATTTTAGTCGACTAAATCTACAGTAAATTTAGTTGGCTAAAATCTAATGGGTTTAGTTACAGTGCATTTATTAAGCATTTCTCTAAAATTTCCAAGCTCATTATATAGGTTTGATATTCAGGTTTTATCATGATAGACACCGATTTAACTGTGGTGACACACTACATGCCTTTATGTTAAAATTAAATAAAACTACTTCTCATAAAGAACAAGAACATGGTCTTCTTTTTAATGAAATACCAATGGTTATATAGGCTAATTATGCATTCTTTATAGCAATTTGTTTACCATATTCTTCATTCTTTCAAGCAGACATATTTATTTAAATTTAGATTAATCTTTAGGGCGACTAAAGTTTTTCAGTCAAGAGCAGTGCATGATTTTCTGTCTTTCTGTTGTTGCTTGATTAACATCAATGACTCGGACAATAGCAACTAAACTAGGCTGCTATCCCTTTAAAACCGAATGCACAGCTGCAATGAATGCAATGTACTGATACACGTTCTCCCTACTGTTTACGTTCACTTAAGACATAATCAACT